AACCTATATTAAACTAGACTAGCAAGAATACATAACACATAGACTTACATAATACATAATACACAGACTTCAATAGTGATAGAACAGCCAATAAATATGTGACTTTTGAGGGTTTTTTTCTATTTCCTCTTTTTAAAATGAAAATGTATTCAAATAATCCATAAAAAGGGTGTATTTTAGGGTGTCCTTGTTGTTTTACATGTATTTACTGTAGCAATTACACTTAATTATTCAGTATTACAAGCAAATAACCCTAAATCCAATCTGCATTCTGACCCTAACCACACAGTAAGTACATTTATTCATTCATTTTCATTCGGCTTAGTCCCTAATTTATCAGGGGTCGCCACAGCTTAATGAACTGCCAACTATTCCAGCATATGTTTTATGCAGCAGATGCCCTTTCGGCCGCAACCCAGTACTAAAAAAACACCCATACAGTCTCACATTCACATGCACTCATACACTACTGTGGGGGAAATCAGAGCACCCGGAGGAAACCCACGTGAACATGGGGCAAACATGCACACACAAAAATGCCTACTGGCCCAGCCGGGACTCAAACCAGAAACTTTCTTGCTGTGAGGTGACATTGCTAACCACTGAGCCACCGTGCCGCCCTGCAACCACGTGTAATTCTTTAATATTAAGGATACAAAATAAAGTATAACAAAATGTTAATTATTTGGTCTGAGTTACAAGGGTGATCTCACAGTATAATTAACATTTGTCCAGAATTAGTGCTCATATTCATTCTAATAGCTCCTCAACTTTCACTATGGTGTAAACTATTACCTTATATGTAATAAGAACAGTAACAGCTCAACAAAAATAAAAAGTTTAAGAGGGAAAATGGGTTGGTTACAATAGACGTCTGTACTTGGTGCACTATAGCCATTACCATACCTGAGTTAAAGCGGGTACTCGCCTGGACAGAGCATCCAATTTATTTCACTTTTATGAGTAATGACAGTTATCAACTCTCCCACAAACTTTCTAAGACTAGCTCGTACAGCAAATAGAGAGAGAGAGAGAGAGAGAGAGAGAGAGAGAGAGAGATAGAGAGAGAGAGAGAGAGAGAGAGAGAGGAGAGGAGAGAGGTGGAGTTCTGTTTATACAGTGAGTCATGAGTGTAAGTCACCCAGACTAATGCCTTCACAACAGACAGACAGAAAAGAACAGAACAAGCAAACCTGAAGTCATGCAGATGCATGCTTGTAGTAAATGCTCTAAAATATGTTTTGTTATATCTTAAAATAATTTAGGCTCTCTTATTGCAATGTCCAGTTGCAGCTTGTAGTGAAACTTTCCTAGATTCCAGCAGGCACCTTGATGTTCATTCATTAATTTGGCTTAGTCCCTTTATTAATCAGGGGTCAACACAGCAGAATGAACCACCAACTTATCTAGCATATGTTTTATGCAGCGGATGCCCTTACAGCTGCAACCCATCACTGGGAAACACCCATACACACTCATTCACAAACATACACCATGGACAATTTATCCTATGCCATTTACTTGTAGCGTATTTAGACTGTGGGAGAAACCCACGCAAAAATGGGGAGAACATGCAAACTCTACACAGAAATGCCAATTGTCCTAGCCAAGGCTCGAACCAGCAACCTTCTTGCTGTAAAACGATCGTACTACCCACTGCACCACCCACCTTGATGTTAAAAAAACATCAAAAGTTTGATGTCAAAATGACATCAGATTGACAACTCACATGGACATCTCATGTTTTGTATCTCTAAAATGCATATAAACTACCTCGATGTCCAAACAACATCAAATAGACACCTAACATTGGCGTCAAAAATCTATTTACAGGACAGTCCTGTAATTGATTTTTGATGCCAATGTTACATGTAAATTTTATGTTGTTTTGACATCAAGATGGTTTACATGCATTATAGGGATACAAAATTCCAGCATAAAATGGAAATGTTCGAACTGAAGCCTTCAGATGAATAACAACATTTCTCATATTATAATACATTTGGGGTCATTATTTTGGTGGTCAAAAGGGCATTAATGTGTGGATGTCAAATGTATGTCAAGGTTTGACATCAAATCAATTAGCATTTTTGATGTAATTTTGACATAAGGTGCCTGCTGGGATAGTTATCTGCAACGCTTGATTCTGATTGGTCAACAGCAGTCAAATATGTCTTTATAATGACCTCCAGATTGAACAATGTGAGTGCCAGTACATTTTTATTACGTTTAATTTACATTTTTCCCCTTTCCAGAGTTTGTTTTATGATAACTCAAACATCCAATTTAGTTTGCTCTAACAAAGTTTCAAAATATCTGTTCTTGAGAACAGAAATTTTACCCCACCTCTATTGTTCATCAGTGAGGTTTCCAAGTTGAAGCAAAGTTAAGAGGGTGGTGGTGAAAGGTTTAGATGATGTCACATCCCCCTTCAGGGAGCCGACAATCAAGAAAAATCCTCTGCAAACATCAGCAGACACATGCTAATGCAGTGTAACACCACCACCCATGCCACCTAGATTGAATAAATAACCAAATAACAGACTTCAACATCAAGCGCGTGTTTTTAAAAAGGCTGCTAAATTACAAACCTTAAAACAAACACAATACTTTGAAGCTCCTGGCCTGTTGTTGCTCAGTGCTCTACTAGTGAATGCACTCCATTCATTACTTGTGCTTGCTTAGACAAGCATAGCAATGACCAAATAACAATATGATCACCTTAGCAACACCCTGGGAACCAAACAACCATAGAAGTTTGCCAGAAACATTTTATACAGGCAATGAGAAATCATAATTTCTTCAGACTCTATACTTTATGCATATGACATATAAACAGTGGTGTAAAGTACAAATTACAAATACTCAAATTGCTGTAATTGAATAGTTTTTCTCAGGGATTGTAATTACTGAGTAGTTTTTAAATGTGAACATTCACTTTCCCTTGAGTACATTTTTAATGCTGTATGGGTACTATTACTCCTCTACTTTCCTTTAACCTGTAGTCACTACTTTATTTTTTCTTGTCTGTAGAAAAATAAATTCTAGGATTCATGTTTAAGATTTTGGATCAAAGTTGGATTTTGATCACTTTCCAACACAACCTAAAATCAATCAAATATCAATATCATTTGATGATCTAAATAACATTGTAGATGCTGGCTAGACATAGAATTTTTGTCATGTGACGTCACAACCTCAATCCTTATCTATTATCCAGATTAACTATTATTGCCTTATCAATTAACCAATCTAGTCTTATGACGATGTGTGCCTGCTGGGCAATAACTAAATACATTACAGAATTTTCCGTTTACACACACTCTGCTTTTTATAGCATAATACTCACTAATCTTGAGTAACTTTGAAAGGTCTACTTTTTACTCGTACTTTGAGTAATATTTAATACTCTACTTGCACTACATTTTTAAGCGAAGTTTGGTACTTTTAAATACAGATGATTTTTAAGTACTCGTTCCAGCACTGCATTTAAACTATAGCCACGAAAACAAGTGTTTCAAGCTTAAATAACACTGCACAACATAAATAAGCTCATCCTAATCCTTGTACGAAGAAACAGAATTTTTTTTTTTATCGATGTGATTGAATTATTACATGATGTCATTATGCATAATATTTGGATCGGATGTAGTTGAACAAAAAATTATTAGCTCTGCTGTGAAATTTGTATCCTTTTTTAAATTTTACAAAGTGCTGTTTTGTGTTAAAATGTGTTTTGTATGTTAATTTTTCCTTTAACTGTATTAATTTCTAATACTCAAAATATATGAAATATGAAATACATAATACAATAATAGGCGGTGCAGTGGCGCAGTAGGTAGTGCTGTCGCCTCACAGCAAGAAGGTCGCTGGTTCGAACCTCGGCTCAGTTGGTGTTTCTGTGTGGAGTTTGCATGTTCTCCCTACCTTAGCGTGGGTTTCCTCCGGGTGCTCCAGTTTCCCCCGAAGACATGTGTTACAGGTGAATTGGATAGGCTAAATTGTCCGTAGTGTATGAGTGTGAATGTGTGTGTGGATGTTTCCCAGAGATGGGTTGCGGCTGGAAGGTCATCCGCTGCGTAAAAACTTGCTGGATAAGTTGGCGGTTCATTCCGCTGTGGTGACCCCGGAAAATGAATGAATAAATAATACAATAATATATGATTATTCTAAAAAAAGTGTTTTAATCATTCATTTATTAATATATTTAATTTTATATGGCATAAAGTTAATAAAGGTCAGTGAGATAGTAAAGGTGGAAAATGTACATAAAAGGAACTAAATTATTAAAAGCAAAAACTTACCTATGTCTATTAATTATCATACAACCAACAATGTAATGTGTGCAATAAACATGCAACAAAAACTAGAAAAATAATTTATTTAATTTAATTTAAAATGTGTGTTTTAAAGGAATATACCATATATATATATATATATATATATATATATATATATATATATATATATATATATATATATATATATATATATAAAAACAAGCTACAAAACAAGTGTTTTTTTTTTTGTTTGTTTTAAAAGGTTTTTTTTTTCACAGCTGCAGCCTACAAAGCAATTCTTGTGATGTTTGTTTTTTCCTGACTGCATGATCAAAAATAAATAAAACTTTTCTGCGTCCACTTATTACTGGGTTTGCATCTTTGTTCTGTTCCAAACTGACAAAGGGAGTAGAATTGGCACACATCCACAGACACACAAACACACATGTGTGTGTGTCAGAGTGCCTTCAACCCTACTGCACTCCCTTCATTGAAATCTCAAGGGTGAGAACATTGCAGGAGTTCATACAGACACAGAGACATTCTTTTGCAGTTTCCTCACTAGGGTGGAAACTGAACCCTTGTCCTGGAGTCTCAACATTGCTGAAGGTTGCAGAAGGGTCTGGCACAAACCCTCACTCCCCCCTCCCGTCCACAAAGGGCAAGACCCGCCCCCAAGCAACATCTCTATAAGAGAGCAAAGTGGAGCTCGAAGGCACCAATCCTCTTCAGGACAACTGCATCCATCCACCATGTCGATCTCTATCCAAACGACATCCTCCAAAGGTCCCAGGAGCATGACCTCAGGGTCCATAATCACCAAGACTCTGAGGAGCTCCGCAGCCTTTCCTCAAAAGGCCCACAGCGTGTATGGAGGCAGCTTTGGAGGAAGCACTCGCATCTCTACCACCAGAATTGGAGGCGGTGGAGGATATGGTTTTGGTGGAGGACACGGTGGAGGATATGGAGGAGGATATGGTGGAGGATACAGCTCTGGATTCATCCACGGAGGGGATGGTGACCATTACCAGCTGAATGAGAAGGCCACCATGCAAAACCTGAATGATCGTCTGGCGTCCTACCTGGATAAGGTGCGCTCCCTAGAGGCTGCCAATGCCACTCTGGAGAGGCAGATCCGTGAGTACTATGAGAAGAAGGGGCCAGTCGCAGAGAGGGACTACAGCCACTTCTGGAACACCATCAAAGACCTGAAGGACAAGGTACAGTGATGATGTCTGAATGAATATGAAGCAAGATTAACAAATCAAGTGCACTAGTTGCTAAATAATAGATTGCACAATATATACCCCTTGAGAATCTGTGTATAACCATAAATACTGTTCTCATATAAAAGATAGTTACAAAAGACAGAAATTCTGACCCATTTGGCATAAGATAGTGCCGTTTAAAAACACTGTGCCCCATTACTTAAAGTCATGTCAATGCTTTTTTTTATTACAGATCAAAAATGCTACCATCCACAACGCCAACATCCTCCTGCAGATTGACAACTCTAAGCTTGCTGCTGATGACTTCAGGATAAAGTAAGTTCTCTTTAATAATATTTGATACTCTGTAACCATACGGTATCATTAAAGTTTACATAAAATGGAAGTTACTTTTTCTCACATCATGACATACATCCAATTGAGATGCTCCTGAAATGAGGCAAAAGTAGGATGGTACATGATTTTGTCCTATGGGAACTGATTGAATCAATAGAAGATGACTTTAGAAATTAAAAAAGCACTGATAAACATGTCACCAGAAGTAAAGAAAAGTAATTTTGAGGGGGAGTGAAGCATATGGTATTCAATAAAAAATCATCAGGGGAAATTATTTTTGATGAAATCCTTACGAACAAGTACTACAAAGAGTCAATTTTGGGATTATGTCAAAATTAAGAGATCGAACTTGTATAAAAAAATGATCCTCATCCTGCCTCTCCACCAATCAGATTCGAGCATGAGTTGGTAATGCGCCAATCTGTGGAGGCTGACATCGCCAACCTGCGCCGCTTGCTGGACCAGACGACACTGACAAAGGCCGACCTGGAGATGCAGATCGAGGGTATGCAAGATGAACTGGCCTTTATGAAGAAGAACCACCAGGAGGTTTGTAATGACAGCTTGCTGTATGTGAAAGGTTTTTTGTTTGTTTGTTTGTTTGTTTGTTTGTTTTTTGCCTCACGATGCTTAACTTTTGTGTGTTTACAGGACTTGGCTGCACTGAGGTCTCAGCTGACTGGCACAGTGAACGTCGAGGTCGATGCTGCTCCTCAACAAGATCTGAACAAGGTTCTGGAGGAGATTCGCGCTCATTACGAGAACATCATTCAGAAACATCGCAGGGAACAGGAAGACTGGTTCAAAGACAAGGTAAGAAGCTGTAAATTTAAGCTGAAAGATGAGAAATGCTCTTACTTATAATGTGTGTTTCTGTCTTATTTTTAGTCGGCAGGTTTGAGCAAAGAAGTGGCCATCAGCACAGAGACCATACAAACAACAAAGACACAGATCACAGATCTACGACGCACCTTGCAAGGCCTGGAGATCGAACTACAGTCCCAACTCAGCATGGTGAGGCAATAATGGAATGCAGGAAGTGTATGGGGGAGAGAGAGCGAGATTACACTATCTAAACTAAAAGCAGCAAAGGTTTACGTAAGAATTTGAGGAAACATGCCAAGAAGAGGACACAGAAAGGGAGGCAAAGATATATAAAAAAACAGATGTAGCAGAGGGGGAGATATGTCAAGAATGCTTTGTTTCGTAAATTCCTCCAAATCCTAGGATATTGGAAAAAGTGCTCTGAAAGTAATTGTGGGCTTTTCTGATAACCAGTATGTATAAAGGGATAGTTCACCCAAAAAATACACTAACAATATTATTTACACATACAACATCATTTATATTGACCTATTCCTGCATGTCTCATTACTCACGCAGAAAGCAGCACTGGAGAACTCACTGGGAGACACAGAGGCTAGGTACAGCGCTATGCTAGCAGGCTACCAGAACCAAATCAACATGCTGGAAGCAGAGTTGGCTCAGTTGAGAGCTAGCATTGAGCAGCAGTCACGAGATTACATCTTGTTGCTGGACATCAAGACTCGTCTGGAGCAGGAGATCGCCACCTACAGGAGCCTCCTGGAAAACCAGGACATTAAGTAAGTTATTTGTCAAAAGCAGTGGTTCATAGATTACATTACAAATGTCATCGTAGAATTGTTTCACTAATGTATATTTTTCTTTGTCTTCTTCCAGGACTCAAGTACCAGGTGATGAACATTTCTCTTTACACACACATGTTGTGGGATGAACTGTTTTAGGTACTACTGTGAACTACGGTGCATTGCTGAATCCTGTCTCTCTCTGCTTTCAGGTGGAACTGTCACCATCACCACGACCACAACAGGAGGAACATCAGTCCAGCAGCGTTCATTCTAAAGGCTAAATAAAATGCTGAAAGCAATGCTTTATGAGACCACACACATAGATTTGAATCTGAATGTGTGCTGAAAGTGTTAGGGGAAAGTGTCACTGAAAGTAAAACGGATGTATTTTGTATTTTGTGTGTGTGTGATTAAACCTGTCTCTGAAAATAAAGCTGCTGTCAAGAATAATTTTTCAATTTTGCATTATTGTGTTCATTTATTTGAGAAACGTTCAATATTTTGAACCAAATACGAGTTCACATATTCACCATACCATATTTAGACCCCATGGAATTTACAATAAAATCTTTACTGTAAGGGGCAGCATGGTGGTGCACACCTAACAGCAAGAAGGTCGCTGGTTCGAGCCCCAATTGGGTCAGTTGGCATTTCTGTGTGGAGTTTGCATGTTCTCCCCTTGTTGGCGTAGGTTTCCTCTGGGTGCTCCAGTTTCCACCACAAGTCCAAAAACATGAGGTATAGGTGAACTGGGTAAGCTAAATTGTCCGTAGTGTATGTGTGTGAATGAGTGTGTATGGATGTTTCCCAGTGATGGGCTGCAGCTAGAAGGGCAGCCGCTGTGTAAAACATATGTTGATAAGTTGGCGGTTCATTCTGCTGTGGCGACCCCTGATCGATAAAGGGACTGAGCCAAAAAGTGAATGAATGAATGAATCTTTTCTGGAAATGCAAGAAATGAGAGACGGGGTCTTCTCAGTGTTACTCAAGGTTGCTTTCCATAACAGCCTCACAATAATATTGAATATGTTGCCTGGCAACAAATCCACTACAAAAGGAAGGTCAAAAAGCTGGCTGGCCATTGACTTCCTCTTTATCAGTAAAAACATTTGATAAACAATTGCAATTGTGTAAACTGGAACAATGAAAATGTAATGTATATGGAGAGGAAATTATGCAGAGACTGGAACATCTGGAAAGAAGTACATTTAATTACAAAAAAGTGATAAATGAAAAGGCTGATAACTTTGTGTGTTCTGTTTCTTGGCTTTAGTTGCAAATATTAACCACTTACGTGACATGCATGATATAACAGGTCTTATAATGACCAGTAATCTTCATAAAGACACGAGAACGATATGAGTTAGTGAAATCTATAGAGAAAATAGTCCAACACTAAGACTTAGATCTATGTCTCTACATGGAATGCAGACTCATTGGCAGACAAAGGTGTGGCATGATTTTAGCTCAAATACAGACTGATGAGATGTGCTGGGATTTCACTGTTTAATTTATATCGTTCTGTTGATATCAGGGAATGCTGCAGTATGAATCAGAGTTGAAATTGAGTTATCATCTGTCTAGAAAAAAAGAGCATCAAACAAGTTGCTGCAATCTGGCTGTCAGCTGGGTGTGGTGTGGCACTAACCAAAAAATGAGTGGTAGTGCATAACTCGGTATGTCTTTAATCTATGGTATAACCAAATTGTATATATCAAAGTACTTCAGAATACCTGTTTACAGCCCATTCTCACTCTGAAGAGGAATTAATTCATGGTTTTTAGTTTTGTTTTTTACTTTTAAATTTAGGCATTTAGCAGATACTTTAATCCAAAGTGATTTACAATGAAGGTGATTCATAATATTCATTAAAAGTCTATTGTTTATTTATTTATTTATTTTGCCATATTGAGCTGAAGTCTTTTATCCTTTCGGAAATGTCCTTCAATCAGTGTGAGAACTAGCTCCTGTAAGATCATACAAATAACAGGAGAAAGATAGAGCTGTGATGCTTTAGCATTGCAATGGGGAAAATAAATGAAAACATGAAAATAAATATCTTTAAACGATGAGACCCAGCAATGTAAATGAAAATGGGTCCAAGGAATGATCCTTGAGGTACTCCTGTGAGCAGCCTTGGATATCCTCTCATCTCCAGGCAACCTTGAAATGTCATGTTGTAAGAAGGATTATAATAGCTGGAAAGAGCTATCGGTTACTTTAATCTTAATACAAAAAGGTTTGCTTACACGTGTTAATGTAACATTTTGCTTTTGTACAGGAATCATAATCACAATGCATCACACTTAAATGTTAAATGTTGATGTTCATGCCCAGTGAGAAAAAATATGTGCTAATAGATATCTGCACACTCGGGGACTTTATGCACAAACACATTTGTTATCAAACACAAACTGCTCTCATACAGCTCAACAACAGCCAAGACGTTACTGCTACTGTTTTGGAAAGAAAAGGGAGTCCTCTCCATGTAAACTATGGCTTGGAGAAATGACCTCTACTCTACATTTGGAGCATATTAGGTAATGTTTAAAAAAAACTTGAGCAATTTGACATCCTTTTATTTGTTAGCTTGACAAAAACCTTGTGGACTAATATATAATTTCATATAATGTTTTAATATTCCTTTTTAGTATACGCTGTTGTTCAAACAGGGTTTTGTTTACAAGTTTTGGGGAAAGACTTGTTGTGTGGGTGGGTTTTCATTTATCATCTTTTTTTTTTCAATTTTATTTGTTTCTCTTTCCTTGATTATGTAATATGTCGATAACGTAAAACAGAGAATCATTTTCCTAAATCTTTGTTTTCAATAAAAAAACTTATTTGACAAACATGAACTGCAGGCTTTGACCTGCTCCGTCTCCGACCTGGGCCGGTTCACCCCTCCCCAATTGGGTCAGTTGGCATTTCTGTGTGGAGTTTGCATGTTCTCCCCTTGTTGGCGTAGGTTTCCTCTGGGTGCTCCAGTTTCCACCACAAGTCCAAAAACATGAGGTATAGGTGAACTGGGTAAGCTAAATTGTCCGTAGTGTATGTGTGTGAATGAGTGTGTATGGATGTTTCCCAGTGATGGGCTGCAGCTAGAAGGGCAGCCGCTGTGTAAAACATATGTTGATAAGTTGGCGGTTCATTCTGCTGTGGCGACCCCTGATCGATAAAGGGACTGAGCCAAAAAGTGAATGAATGAATGAATCTTTTCTGGAAATGCAAGAAATGAGAGACGGGGTCTTCTCAGTGTTACTCAAGGTTGCTTTCCATAACAGCCTCACAATAATATTGAATATGTTGCCTGGCAACAAATCCACTACAAAAGGAAGGTCAAAAAGCTGGCTGGCCATTGACTTCCTCTTTATCAGTAAAAACATTTGATAAACAATTGCAATTGTGTAAACTGGAACAATGAAAATGTAATGTATATGGAGAGGAAATTATGCAGAGACTGGAACATCTGGAAAGAAGTACATTTAATTACAAAAAAGTGATAAATGAAAAGGCTGATAACTTTGTGTGTTCTGTTTCTTGGCTTTAGTTGCAAATATTAACCACTTACGTGACATGCATGATATAACAGGTCTTATAATGACCAGTAATCTTCATAAAGACACGAGAACGATATGAGTTAGTGAAATCTATAGAGAAAATAGTCCAACACTAAGACTTAGATCTATGTCTCTACATGGAATGCAGACTCATTGGCAGACAAAGGTGTGGCATGATTTTAGCTCAAATACAGACTGATGAGATGTGCTGGGATTTCACTGTTTAATTTATATCGTTCTGTTGATATCAGGGAATGCTGCAGTATGAATCAGAGTTGAAATTGAGTTATCATCTGTCTAGAAAAAAAGAGCATCAAACAAGTTGCTGCAATCTGGCTGTCAGCTGGGTGTGGTGTGGCACTAACCAAAAAATGAGTGGTAGTGCATAACTCGGTATGTCTTTAATCTATGGTATAACCAAATTGTATATATCAAAGTACTTCAGAATACCTGTTTACAGCCCATTCTCACTCTGAAGAGGAATTAATTCATGGTTTTTAGTTTTGTTTTTTACTTTTAAATTTAGGCATTTAGCAGATACTTTAATCCAAAGTGATTTACAATGAAGGTGATTCATAATATTCATTAAAAGTCTATTGTTTATTTATTTATTTATTTTGCCATATTGAGCTGAAGTCTTTTATCCTTTCGGAAATGTCCTTCAATCAGTGTGAGAACTAGCTCCTGTAAGATCATACAAATAACAGGAGAAAGATAGAGCTGTGATGCTTTAGCATTGCAATGGGGAAAATAAATGAAAACATGAAAATAAATATCTTTAAACGATGAGACCCAGCAATGTAAATGAAAATGGGTCCAAGGAATGATCCTTGAGGTACTCCTGTGAGCAGCCTTGGATATTCTCTCATCTCCAGGCAACCTTGAAATGTCATGTTGTAAGAAGGATTATAATAGCTGGAAAGAGCTATCGGTTACTTTAATCTTAAAACAAAAGGGTTTGCTTACCCGTGTTAATGTAACATTGTGCTTTTGTACAGGAATCACAATCACAATGCATCACACTTGAATGTTAAATGTTGATGTTCATGCCCAGTGAGAAAAAAATATGTGCTACTAGATATCTGCACACTCGGGGACTTTATGCACAAACACATTTGTTGTCAAACACAAACTGCTCTCATACAGCTCAACAACAGCCAAGACGTTACTGCTACTGTTTTGGAAAGAAAAGGGAGTCCTCTGCATGTAAACTATAGCTTGTAGAAATTACCTCTACTCTACATTTAGAGCATATTAGGTAATGTTTAAAAAAACTTGAGCAATTTGACAAGATCTGACATCCTTTTATTTGTTAGCTTGACAAAAACCTTGTGGACTAATATATAATTTCATGTAATGTTTTAATATTCCTTTTTTAGTATACGCTGTTGTTCAAACAGGGTTTTGTAAACAAGTTTTGGGGAATGGCTTGTTGTGTGGGTGGGTTTTCATTTATCATCTTTTTTTTTTTTCAATTTTATTTGTTTCTCTTTCCTTGATTATGTAATATGTCGATAACGTAAAACAGAGAATCATTTTCCTAAATCTTTGTTTTCAATAAAAAACTTATTTGACAAACATGAACTGCATTATTTGACTGCATGATTTAAAAGACAGAAATTTAGATTTAAGAAAAATATCTGCAGAGTCCTAAAATACAGTTTAAACTGTTAAAAAAGGGCCCTGAAATCTATAAACAGCATTGATATCTGAGATAATGTATGATAGTCATAAACAGAAAAAAAGCTTTCTCTTTCTTTATTGCATTGTTCATGTTTAAAACTGTCTCCAAAGAGGTTTACAATGCTTTAAATGAGGAGTTGCAAGCAGCACCCTTTATATTATATTATAACTGATGGCCACTTTATAGGATTCAAAAGTGATGTT